CAAGAAATTCAAGAAGAAACTAGCATGGCTGCACAAAGATCTCTCTGACAAACTGAAAGACAAAAAGGACAAATATTAAAAAATGGAAAGAGGGGCACATAACTAAGGCCGATAATCGGCAGACAGCCTGAACATGCAAAGATGAAGTCAGGAAAGCAAAGGCTCAGAACGAACAAAGACTTTCAACAGAAATCATGGATAATAAAAAAAAGTTTCTTCCAACATATTAACAAGAAAAAAGTCAAGGAAACTGTAGAGCCACTAAAGAGAGAAGATGACAAGGAAATAACATGCAACAGGGAGAAAGCAGAGCTGCTTAACTCATACTTTGCATCAGTCTTCACACAAAAAGAAACTATAGCCCAACATACCAAAAAAACCTCACTGCAAAAGACAAATTAGAAACAAAAATTAAAATATGCAAGAAAATGGTAAGAAAACACCTATCCAACCTTGACAAATATAAATCACCGGGACCTGACAGATTATATCCCAGAGTTCTGAAGGAGCTGGCAGATGTTACCTCAGAACCATTACACCATATCTTTCAAAAATCCTGGAGCATCGGGGAAGTAGCTGAGGATTGGAAAAGGGCTAATGTGGTTCCCATCTTCAAGAAAGGGGGGGGGGTGGAACAGACACAGGAAACTACAGACCAATCAGTTTAACATCAATACCTGGGGTGATCCTAGAAAAGATAATAAAAAAACAGATCTGCGAGCAACTAGAAGCAAACAAAGTTATAACTAGTAGCCAGCACGGGTTTGTTAAAAACAGATCATGCCAAACAAATCTTATTTCATTCTTCAACAAAGTGATTAAACTAATAGACCAGTGAAATACTGTGGACATAGTATACTTAGACTTCAGTAAGACATTTGATAAAGTAGACCACAACCTACTCCTTGGTATGTTAGAAAAGGTGAAATAGACAACATCATCACCAGATGGATCTGTAGCTGGCTGGCAAACCGTACTCAATGAGTAGTCCTCAATGGCACTATATCCACATGGAGAGAAGTAAGCAGTGGAGTACTACAAGGTTCTATCTTAGGCCCAGTACTCTTCAATATCTTCATCAATGACTTAGATGAGGGAATTGAAGGGGAACTCATCAAATTTGCAGATGACAGCAAACTGGCAGGAATAGCCAACACTCAGGATCCAAAAAGATCTTGACAAACTTGAACAATGGGCCCTATCCAACAAAATGAGTTTCAATGTGGAGAAAAGCAAAGTTTTACATTTAGGCAGGAAAAATCAAAAGTACAAGTACAGATTGGGCAAGATTTGGCTTAAAAACAGTAACTGTGAGAGGGAGCTTGGAGTCCTAGTGGACGATCACTTAACCATGAGCCAGCAGTGCGCAACAGCAGCCAAAAAAGCTAATGCAATCCTGGGTTGTATAAACAGAGGCATAAAATCAAGATCACACGAGGTATTAGTACCACTTTATAAAACCCTAGTAAGATCACACCTGGAATACTGCAGCCAATTTTGGTCACCATGTCACAAAAAAGATGTTGAGAGTTTGGAAAAAATTCAGAGAAGAGCAACTAAGATGATCAAAGGCTGGAGACTAAAACATGTGGAGAACGGCTGCAGGACTTGGGCTTGGCTAGTCTAAAGAAAAGAAGAAATAGGGGAGACATGATAGCAGTATTTCAGTATTTGAGGGGCTGCCACAAAGAAGAGGAGGTCACGTTATTCACCAAAGCACCAGGGGGCAGGACAAGAAACAATGGTTGGAAACTGATCAAAGAGAGAAGCAATCTGGAATTAAGGAGAAACTTCCTGACAGTGAGGACAATTAACCAATGGAATAGCTTGCCTCCAGAAATCATGGGTGCTCCGTCACTGGAGATTTTTAAGAAGAGGCTAGACAGTCACTTGTCTGAGATGGTATAGGTTCTCCTGCTTGAACAGGGGGCTGGATTAGAAGACCTCCAAGGTCTTCTCCAAGGTCCCTTTCAGCTCTATTCTATTCTATTCTATTCTATTCTATTCTATTCTACTCTACTCTACTCTACTCTACTCTACTCTACTCTACTCTACTCTATTCTATATTTTTACAAAATGAATGCTGTTAATTGGCATTAAACAAGATTATCAATTTCTATTACTTTTGGGTCTCTTTAACTAGAGATGGAACCAGGGAATTATGAATGCAAGTACCCATCTGAAATATGCTGATATTATGTAAATTATATTTGATATTATATTTTTATGCAGTGTGATTTCCATTTCTTGGAAGAATAATTTATGTCAACATTAGTAAGCCCAACAAAGCTTGATAAAATAAAGCAAGATAGAATAAATAGTACTAATTAGATATAGTTTGATAAAAGCATGGAATTATATAAGGAAAATTATAAGCTCAACAGTTGCACCATTAACCTCTCCTTCAATGCTTTCAGTGTTGGAGACAGACTAAGAAACATGTAATTACATATGCAGACAAGGCCCACTCAAATTCAATGAATAGAAGGTACAGCAATAATTATTCAGTGAAGATCAGAATGTACTGTGATTGATGTATTTATAAATTGCTAGAAGTATAAAATCTGATTTTAAGAACAATGCAAGGATATTAAGAAAAAAGATAGAATTCAAAGTGCTTATACAAAATGAAAACCATCTGTCAGGGCACATATATAAATCCCTACTTAAAGATGATAGAACAAATAAAAAGCAGTATAAAAAAATACAACAATGGGAAGAATTATGGATCAAATTCATAAAATCTAAAAAAAAAATCTAAAAAAATTAGTTGAAAATGTTAAAATTGGTATACAACTTAATCAATAATGTCCAAGATAGATAAGTCATACATTTCAATAATAAATTTGGAAATACCTTGAAACAAAAGGAACGTTTTACCATCTGCAAAAAACCTTAAAATATTAAAATCTTTAATGTGTATAACTATAATGTAATAATACAGTAGAGACGAGGGTGAAGGTTTGTTCTCCAAGCTCCTCCACAAGCTGTATTTTGCAGTTGCTTATTAAAGTCACATTTATCTTTGGATGCAAAATTTAATACTAATATAAACTTTATCTCTAAAGACTTAAGCCATCTAAATGTTAGAGTGTTAGTAATCTCAAATCAATATTGTATACATACCATTGTACTCAAATAATAAAATGTACTATTTATGTTTTATAATACAGTGGTACCTCAGTACTCATTAATTGGTTCTGGAAGGCATGATGAGTACTAAAAATGAAGAGTACCAACAAACCACGTGACTTACCATGTGAGCTGGGAAAGACTTCCTATCTATACATTTTCCTATGTCAGCAATCTTTCCAGCATGGTCAACTTCCTGTCTGTCTTCTACAGCTGTCCCCAACTTCCTTTTGCAGTGATCTTCATGGCATAGCTGATTTCCTGTCCATTCTCCATGGCCATCTCCTTCTTCCTATAGCAGCTCATCAAATATCAAACAAATGACGAAGACTGGGACAATATTTTTATATCAAAATGCATTGAGTACCAAATTCGATGAGTTTTGAAGCAGTCAAGTACTGAAGTACGACTGTAATACAATTTTAAAAACAGAATAAATCTTATTTGTTTCTTCCACTAATATAAATTGCCCTAAATTACCAAATTGGTTCTCTATTTAATCTGCTTCCAAACTGCACTAGATTAAATTTCTTGACACTGCCATGACTGACATTCTTTAAAGAGACGCCTAACCTACTGTCCACGGCAGGCACAAACATTGTTTAAGGGAAGCAAAAATTCCAGTAGAGATAACAAAAAGCAGTCATACCGTAGCTTCCTTTTTTTAAAAATTATAGACAGGTTATAGCCATATCAAGCTCCTCTGGTTGGCCTCCTCAGCTGCTTACTCAGCCTTCAGACCCATTTGTCACTCTCTCCTGCATCCAGATATAAATATTTAAAGAGAGAAGCTCTTTGTGTGTATATCTGTGTGTTTGTGTGTGTGTATGTGTACATACAGTAAATAAGCATACACATATGCATATATGTGTATGTGTTTATGTATGTATATATGTATATAATAAAATTATGAGATATCAGTGTTTAAGAATAGAGGAAATAGGTCAATGGATATTTAGTAAGGTATGTGGCCTTGTCCTATCCTTTAGAAACAAGGTTTACAGAATGTCTGCAAGGTTATCAGTCCAAGAATGCAACCATTAGAATGAAAATTGTCTGTCTCAAACATAATTAAGTTAGAAACAAATATTGTAATAAATAGGCAAATGGAGGTCCATATGGTATCTTTGGAATTTAGAATACATTTATATGCAAAGGCAACATAGTGATTTGATCTCTGGTTCCCCTTACCATTATTTTATATCCAACGTTCAATTTGGAGCATGAATGAACCAACTAGCCCACATCAATACTGGCATTAGTAGGTATATGGATGAAATCAAGATAAATTTATTATATTATATGCCAATTAATTGCTAATAATTCTTATTGTTATGGGATAGTTTTGTATTGTTCATTTTACTGTTTGCCCTTTTATTACAAATGAAGGTGAATATATATGTCCCAGCATGAATCTGAAAGCTCAGAAGTCAACACTTCTGGTCCCAATGACTGACCCAGATTGAACCCTGTACTTTTATTGGTCAATGACTGAAACAAAGTTTCTGTCTGGATGAAACTACTACAGATAATTGTTAGTTCATATACTTTTGCTTTGTTTATTCTATCAGCAATCTCAAAAATCTCTGAAATTTTTCCCTCATATCTATTAGAGTAGTAGTACAAAAATATTGGGTCTCCTTTTGATTTTTTTTATGGAAAGGCTAAATGGGTGCCTTTGTTATACAATGTATGTAATTTTTAAATTCATTTGAGCTTGTAAAATATTGGAGGCCACTTTGCCATTCCATTAAAGAGTCAACCAGATGGAAGTGTACGTGGATGGTAAAGGAAACTGATACACTGAACACACTGTAGATTACTGATAATTTCATTGATGTTAAAGCAGTTTTATTGTTATCTTGCAGACCATGGAAAATCTGTGCAGTGGAAGCTTGGTGCAGATGGTGATATCTGGGTATGGGTAATGGGAGAACACATGCTGGATAAATCATATGACCTCCTGTGTAGTGAGATTCTTGCTGAAAGAGTGAAGCAACAGTCACTTCAGCAAGTAGAGAAAATAAGGTTAGTACAGCCTTCCATTACTGAAAACAATACACCAAATCTGTCATTAAAAGGAATTTCTTCGAGGCAGGTCCTGACTAGTACAAACTGCATGTTATGGGTTGCTGTCCAATGTGAATGTAATGAAGGACAGAGACTCTAACCAATCTTTTCTATTTGGATCCTCAAGACTGTGACTTCACTTCCCAGAATTCCTAGGAATAAGCAAATATTACGCTTTTCTATTTTTTTAAAAAAACTTTCTAAAGAATTCAAAGAAACCAGGACAACATACTTAAAAAATAAGGGCATTGTTCCAATTTTTATTTTTCCATTGTGGAAAACAGACTGGATTCCTGAATGATGGAATTTTTTTTCCAGTAAATCCCAAAGAACCATTGTGGTTCTCAAACAATGTAAGATGAGATAAAATAAGATAAGGTAAGATGATGAGATGAGATAAGCTGAGATAACTTTAATTGTCACTTTTTTCCTGTGAACACACTGGCACACATTAAAAAAATGAAATTGTGATGCCTCTGTGGTAAGGATAGGGAAAGGAAGAAGTGCTCTTCTCATATGATGCAGAAAATGCAGGCACTGCTATGCCCGCTTCACCAGTGCCTCACTGTTGAGTGACCAAGCTAATCTGCTCGTCAGCTGCACACCCAGAAATTGATACTGCTAACCACCTCCACAATTGAATCATTAATAAACAGAAATTGGCAATGATTTCTTTTGTTTTTCCTACATTTAAAACCAGGCTGTTTTTATTACACCAGTTCATCAAATCCTCTACCTCCTCCTGGTAATAGCCCTCATTTTCATCCTGAATAAGGCCCACCACTGTTATATCATCCACATACTTCACAATCTATTTGGTAGCAAACCTTACACTCATGGGTCAGCACGGTGAAAATAGCAGATTTAGGACACAGCCCTGAGGAGTACCTGTGCTCAAGAACACGATGTTAGAAATATTAGTCCCAACTCTCACATATTAGGGCCTATCAGTGAGAAAATGAAGAACCCAGTTGCACAAAGGAGTATTGAAACCTAAAAGGCCTAGTTTATCTACTAAATGCTGAGGAATAATCGTATTAAATGCCGAACTAAAGTTGACAAACAGCATTTGCACATGAGTATATTCTTTCCTCTAAGTGCTCCAAGCTCAGATGAAGAACATAGGAAATAGCATATAGGGTGGAATTTTGCAAGTTAAATGAAGTCACTACACAGCAGACTGACAAGAACCTTAAATAGTATGGAATGAAAGAAGGAAGGCAAGAGGGCACCATTTGTCCTTAGTTTCAACTGTGAAATGTTCAGGAGAAGAAGAACAAGCCTATGTGTGATTAAATAAAACAGGAGTTCATTATTTAGTGGGCAGGGTTGTTGACAGGTTCTTGAGGTAGGCAGAAATTCTAGGTTAGAAGTCTCCTATTATTCTTTATAACTGCAATTATGCAGCTGCTACTGGTTGACATTTTAGTCCAAATGCAGATGCTGGGGAAGAGAACATCCAATCTTTTTCTCCAATAGCCAATTCTAAATCTAACTTCATGAAGCTGGTGCTGGCGCAGAGGCCCAAATCTATAATTCTCATAGCAAGGCTATCAATAGTTTCTATGACAGAGAAGTACCACTGATCGGAGGGAGGGAGCGAAGGGGGAAGGAAGGAAGCCATTTCAGTTATAATTGTATGAATCTTCCATATAATCTAAATGTGGGAATATATTAACAGTGATTTGTGTGTATTTCATCATCATCATCATCATCATAAAAACATCCCCATCTGCCTATCCCAGGTCCTTGGTAAGGACTCGATAGATAGACAAAAATGCCAAATTCAGTCTGAACATCTAGCTAACTGTGCAATGATTATTATTATTATTATTATTATTAATAATAATAATAATAATAATAATAGAGTTGGAAGGGACCTTGGAGGTCATCTAGTCTAATCCCTGCTCAGGCAGGAAACTCTATACCATTTCAGACAAATGGTTGTCCAGTCTCTTAAAAACTTCTACTGTTGGAGCATTCACAACTTCTGGGAACAGGTTGTCCACTGATTAATTGTTCTAACTGTCAGGAAATTTCTCCTTAGTTCTAGGTTGCTTCTCTCTTTGGTTAGTTTCCATCCGTTGCTTCTCGTCCTGCCTTCAGGAGCCTTGGAGAATAGCCTGATTCCCTCTTCTTTGTGGCAGCCCCTGAGATATTGGAACACTGCTATCATGTCACCCCTCGTCTTTCTCTTTATTAAACTAGACATACCCAATTCCAGCAACCGTCCCTTATATGTTTTAGCCTCCAGTCCCCTAATCATCTTTGTTGCTCTTCTCTGTACTCTTTCTAGAATCTAAACTATAATTTAAGGATAATTTAAGGGCCAGCCTACCACTGTACCAGTTCAGTGCTATGTAACATCCAGATTTAGGATACGAAGGTAGAGATATAGCTGCCTGTCAAAACATTTTTTACATTAATTCCTATTGCAGCTTCCTGTATTTGTGCTCATGCAGGTAAAAAACAAAGTTGTTTGAAAAACTTCTGTTTCCTTGAAAAACTCATTGTTTTCTTATTTTATAGAAGAACCCCAATGGAAAAAGTCACAGAGGGTTCAGTATTATGTCCTCCACAGTTTCTATCAGAGACCCAACCTGGATTTGAAATACTGCAAGACAGTAAAGATTTTGTGCAAAGAGATGTACCAAAGAAAGTGGAAAACACACCAGCTGTTGGAAATTACAGAAATCTAGAATGTGTCCAGGTAATGTTCTTGTTTCTTACTATTCAAACCTTAAAATGAAAGTTAGCTGAGGGGGAAAGAATTCCATGGTGAATCCAATGAATGATGATTTTAGGAGTTACTTGGGGTCCCAGTCAGCATTCAGGTGAATTAACACTGAGGGAATGATGAAGATTAACTTTGCTACAGCAAGTTAAACCAAAAAAGCTATTTGTGCCATGATGCTCAACTTGTGCCCCCTCCCATTACAGGTGACACAGCAGTATCAAAAATTGCTGCTGCAGTGTAATATTATGCATATAGGAAATAATAGTTTTAATTTATATGTCACTGAATGACATATAAATGGTTCTATTTGCACTGTACACTTGCACTGCACAGAGGAGTAAGGCTGTCATGCAAAGTCTAAAATTCAGGATGACCAGCCCAGCTAATTGAGTGTAAATTTTTTAGAGGGACTAAACTAATTTCTTGAAATCATCATTCAGCAGAATTATTTGAATATTAACTCTGTTTCAACATTTGCAATTAAAAGTATAGTTTTGAGTGGTCCTGCAAGATTGAGACTGTAGGTACTACATCCTTGTATTTCTGTTTTACTTCCACCCCCACCTCTTGGCTGCACCAGGTTGTACTAAAAAGGGGGCTAAAATAACTGGGGAGGAACATTTCCCACATTACTGTTATTTTTCTATCCTAGAATCATTTATTTATATAAAATTAGATACAATCTTTCTTTCAAGAATTTTTTTATTTCTTATTTTTACTTGTATTGAATAATAATTCATTGGAGTTAAATTAGACACGTTTCCTTTTACATAAAAGCAGGAATTACTCTACCAAGAATAGATTTTCAGTGAAATCACTTATTAGAATTAATGTACCTATAGGTTAATGATTAAAACAAAGGCATGTTGGTCAAGGAGGCTGGTTCCTGCGTCACATGGGCTTTGGTAGATAAGGTGAAAACAGGACCATTTATTCCCTTCACTGATTAAAGAAGGTAATCAGGAACTGAAAGAAAACACTTGAAACAAAGCCCTGAGTTAGTGAGCCTTGATTACAGCCTTATAAATAGTTATAAGCACAATGGTTCATCAATAGGGAGTAGAAAATAGAGGAATCTCCTGCAAACCTTTTTAGAAAAAGATTATATTAAACGTGCTAGGTTTTTTTGGTATTTTGCTGTCACAAACTGAAAAATAAGCTTACTGTACAGTGTGAACCCTGGCTCTTCTGGAATATAATAACTCTATAGACATATATTGAGAAGAATAGTATCTCAATGGCATCTGACTTAGTGCAAAATGTTTCCATTATCCTTTCTGGAATCAGAGAAGCTGGCAATATCTAGCTAACCATATCTGATCATAATTCCAAGGCTGTAGATAAACTGGAAGGTTGGGGGAAAGCGAGCAACAAGAGTGAGGGTAACTAATCACAGGGGAGAGTTTTTCTGAGAACTTCATTTGTGGTCGTAAGAGTGGTGAAGCAAGCTTCAGTTATCTGTGAATATATCTTTATCTTTATTTCAGTTTCTTTAAATTTTTAAGCTTATGCTTAAAATTGTCTTTCAGGACTGAAGAGAGATTCAAGGGCATTTGTCAATATGAAGGTCTCTAATAGCTTATAAGTAGTTAACGAGCTATTTCCAAAAGTGATCAGAAGTGAGGTTTACAAATTTAATGTTTAGCATATTACATGCAATGTTACTTTTTCTATTCTGGGTGAACGTGAGTGGTTTGCTTTTGAATGCTTAGATATTTATTTGTTTCTTTTCTTTTTTAGCTTACCTTTGTTGCAAAGAATTCAGGGCAGTGTATACTTCCTCTTCTCCATTTCACAGAAATCTGTGAGATAGATGAGCCTGAGAGATAGTAACCTGCTCAAAATTATGCAAAGAATTGCCAAGTAGAGAGACATTTGAATCAAGCAGGATCTACCAAGAGTTTCTGAAGCACTGCTGGATCTTTTTTTCTGAAATTTGATACCTACTGTGTTTATAATATGCTCTCTACTCACACATATTTTAGCATTAATAATATTAGCACCAATTTTCAATAATTATATGCATTTAAAGTCTGCAAATTGCATGCATGCCTCCATAGTTATGTTGGATTGCAAATTTGTTTGTGTGGGTGATGTATTTCCAAGGGGAACCTGAGCCCAGTTTTAATTATCCCTTCCTGCTGACTCCAGGTTTCATTAGCTTTCTATTTGTGTAACCAATTAGGCACTGTTTTTGTATTCAGTAATTGCAGCTACATCTCCCCAGAGATGTCAATTCCAAAATAAAAACTGTGGGCAGTTACAGTTGTGAAGGTGAACATAAAAAAAGATGGGTGGAGGAAGCAAATGAAAAATCTCTCCTCCATTGCTTGCAGTCAAAAAAGAAGAGGAATGGGAGAATATTTCAGAATAGACCAGGTTCTACATTTTTGAGATTACTTCCATCTGTGACTTGATAACAATCATGCAGTCATAAAAATATTTGGGCAGGGCAAAGTATAAATAGAGTTGGAAGAATGGTTGGGAAATCCTTTGCTGAAGTCAACAAACACAGAACTGAAGAAAATCTCCCACTATAATTTTATTGCAAAGGCTCTTCAGTTCAAAGATATTTTCAATCAATACAAATTTCTGATAAAATGGGACTGTTGCTGAAAATGGCTTCACTGAAAAAACAGTCACTGAAAAGAATTAGAAAGTATATTGACTCATAAAGCTTGTGACCCAAATAACCTAGTATGCACTCATGTAAATATTCAAACTTACATTTCTAGATGATTTTGTTAATTTATTGTATGTGATGGGAATGGATAGTAAATGGTATGGCCAAATATTGTGGCAGGATGGCTTAAGGATGCTGTGAAAAAGAGACTTTAAACAGCCACTCTCTTATTACATTTTCTTTGGGAAACATGTAAGGTCCAAATTAGGGAAAACAGATATATTTGAATCAGCAATCACATTTTTCAAAGACAATACTAATTTCTAGTATTATTGATTAACATACACTATCTGCTAGTCTTTTGACATGAAAATGTTCAGCTCAGACAAGAAAAAGTGCTAGCTATCATTGAATGGAGATATTGGCTCTTAAAGTGGCTTGTAGAATATCATATTCTTGGTGTCAGAGCAGCCTTCCTTCATTCAGTGATCCTCAAAATGTATTGTATATCAATCCCTATCTTTTCAGTCATTGTGGCCAAATGAACATATTTGGAGATACCAAGTCAACAGAGGAGTTGGTAACCTTAATTTTAATCTGCAATTTACATTTTAGTTGAATCATCAAGCTATGATAATATTCAAAACATACAGGTTTTTTTAAAAAAAAAGTTTTTTATTTACAATACAGTTAAAAAAGTAAACATTGGACATGACGTAACATTCCAGTATAAACATTTCTGTCAAGTTATTTCTCTTCTTACATTTAGTTCTTTATCTCTATAGATACATATGGGTTTTTTTATACAATACTTAATTCATTTCTCTATTTGCTAGCCTAAAATTATATACATTTCCATATTGACTCTAATCTATAACCCCAACAGTCCTCCTTGACTCCACCAATAGTAAAATTTATCCCAGATTTCAAAATCCACTTTTATCCTTCAGTTCCATCCAAAACATACAGTTTTTATAGGATCAAAGGCTACAACTATTTATGAAATCAAAATGTGAATTATTAGCATGGAAGAAAATTATTGGTACATTAAATGAAACCATTACCTTTGTCTATCTTTTGGCAGGTTAGAGAAATGCCAATGAAGAAGACCACCACCGAGACCAGAACAGGAGAAGAAATAACTCTAGATTACCCTTCTGAATCAATTCAAAAACTGGACAAAGAACATTCTGATTGGCTAGAATCTTGTATGCACACTAATATTGGCCCTTTTATGTGACCATGCTTATAATTTTGAATGGAGAAAGGATATACAAGGCTAGCTATACAGAATAATACTTTAAAATTTCAACTGTAATGGTTAAATGTTACATTTAACAAAGACTTTTTTTTTAAAAAAAGTACTTGATAGCTATCTCTCTGAAATTCTGCTGTACAATAGCAGTAGTAATTTTGGCTCTCTGTTTGAATTATTAAACGTCAGTTTCTATTTATGCCCATGTCCCTTATTTGTAAACAAATCCCCTCAAATTTTACACGTTAGACTCTCCAAGGAATCCACCTACTCAGAGAGCTATGTTGATTAAATCAAATACCAGTGCAGAAGCACTGATCAGACTGAAGGCATCTCCACCCCTCAAAGTGTCCACTGCACATTCTATTTCCCAATCCCTTAAAAGCATTGTGAAGCTGATATGTGGTTCTCATCACTCATTGCGATGAGAGAAAGGTGAGGGGAGGTGGGGGTTTCCACCAATGGAGGATAGACTACCCAAAAGCTTTGCTGAGTTGCACTGCTTCAGAAAAGAAAAGAAGGAAAGGGGAAAGAGAAAGTAGGGGTCAAAGCAGTTCTTCTATACAACAGACTGGCTATACTTGGGAACTGAGCTAGTGTCATGAGAACCGGCAAGTTCAAAGCTGATTCTGAACTGCTGTCCCAGAAATTCCTTTATTATGGAAGTCATTCATGTACCAGAATAATTTCACATGTTTATTCTCTCTGGCTTTCTCCATCTCATGGGCATGATTTCATAATTCCTATTGGTGGTTCTGGACCTTGAAAAAATGAGTGGGTAACAATGTTCCTTCTCAATTTCAGTACGGAGGTCCAAAGCAGCAGATGAAAGGCGACGCTCCCTTGCCAAACACGCACGAGATGACTACAAGAGGCTGTCATTAAAGGGCATCCACAAGAACAAAGCAGCTAATGTTTCCCAGATCTTTAAGAGTCAGGAGCAAAGAAAGCCACTCCCTCCACCTCTGCCACCAAAGCCTAAAAACGTTACAGCTAAAATAGCTAATGAGAAACCAGAGAGGTTAGTAACTTAGAGGAATGTCACTGTACTGTTGAGGAAGACATATACAGCCCAAGATGTATATGAATGTCATCATTCTTCCTTTTCTAATTGCTCTTTGAAATTGGGCTGGGAACAATAAACCTTAATAGCCATATTAAACACAGATTTAAATGATTTCATTGGGCAGTTTCATTGTATGGTATAAAACTCAAAAGACTTTAGGTCAGACCTGGGCATTTTAAAGCTTGTGGGCCATATCTGTCATTTTGGCTGTTCTTGTCTGGCCCATGGTGGCGGCGGGGCATCATTGTCGGGTTGAAAAATCAATGGGGTGGAGGGGGGGACAGGGGCAGTGTGGCAGCCCTCCACAATAGTCTCAGTTTTTCATGTAGCCCCATAGGAAAATTAACCCCCCCTGCTTTAGGTTAATCCAAGTCATTGAAAAATTAATTACTGCCCTCCCATATATGCTGGTAGATGGGACTATTTAATCTTACTTTCTTTTATCAAAATACAGTACTGTTAGCTTATACGGTCCCTTTAAAAAAAGAATGTATTTAATTTGAGGGTTCATATATATTTTGATAAGATGAAAACAATAAGAGCTAAAGAAGCTTCTTGGATGAGAAGCAAAACGTCTTCAAAGAAAAAACAAGGAAGTCCAGTTGCCTCATGCAAAAGCATCTTTGGGACTATTGTGGAATAGAAAAACGTCTGGTTCATTGATATTGCAATACCAGTAATGCATGAATTAAAGAGAAAAAAACTAGAAAAAATAACAAAATACTGTGATCTGCAAATAGAAGTTGAGTGATTGTGGAGAGGGAAATCCATGGTTGTATCAATAGTAACAGGAGCCCTTGGAGCAATACCCAAAGGGCTGCCTAGATACATGGAAATTTTGAACTTATTAGATCTGAATAATCTGAGTTTGCAAACCCCCACCTTACTCGGAACTGCCTATATGCTCAGACATTACCTTAATAGCTCTTAAGACCTTGGTTAGGACTTGAACTGTTAAGTTTTTATCAGTCCCAGACTGTGAATCAAATTGAAGATTAAATCTTAAATAACAACAACAACAATAATAACAGTAATAATAATAATAATAATAATAATAATAATAATAATAATAATAATAATAATAATAATAATAATAATAATAATAATATCTCAGTGAGGCACTACCTTGATGTGGATATGGGGCTTGTGCTCTCTGAGGAAGATGAGAGCTATGCCAGAGGTTCAACGATACTGGACAGGTCTCATCAGAGGAATCAGACAGAGTGTCTCTCCTATAAAAAAAAATGGTGAGATGTAATGTACAGAAATCTGTACTGGCTTGGTTGTCCAGGTTAACAGGGACCACGCTAGATATTAGAGTTCCTAGACCTCTGGTGAAAAATGGGATACAGGACTCAGAACTCAGGATTTTGGCTGAGTAATCAGAGCCAGCAGCTGCAGAACTACTGGAAGGAAAGGTGTTTACCCATCACAAATATACAGTGATTGAAAACAAAGAAATAATGAACTGTTATTACAGATCAAATCCAACAAGAAGAGGATATTTTAAATAAATGAACCAGTTTTGGAAAGAACATCCAAAATCAGAAATAACAGAATAGAGGCTAGTAAATCAATGTCGATTTACAATACAAAATATTCACAGAAGCAGAATTGGAAGAACTTTAAAGGTCTAACCCAGGGCAGAGAAATCAAAGCCTTTCCAGAAGTAAGTCAGACCGCAGAGGCAAATAAGAGAGAGTTGGTATTTGAGGACTCCAGCAGAGGTGTAGAATTATTTTCATTTGGAAACCAGATGCCCTACTTCAGAAATAACAAAAACCTCTAAGTAAAGAAGTAGAAGAATTGAAACAAAAAATAACTGAGCATCTACAACAGCACAAAAATGTCAGAATAAGGTTGTCTGCATTGAATCTTATTCCAAAGAAATAGCTAACACAAGCATTAAAAGATGCCAACAGTGCAAATGAAATATAAGCACCAGCTCACTGCAAGAAACCAACCAACTAATGTACAGCACAACTGAATACCTAGAATGCAAAATCAACAAAGTCAGAGTGTGTCACCAAAATGGAAGATCAGACTGAAAAATAAGATCAGCAGAACAGGGATTTAGGGGTCTAGCTATTTTATTCTGGATATGTCTCTCCTTAAACTGTTAAGATACATTATAATTTCTGATGCTATCACATACCTTTTATTGATTCGTTACCACACTTTTTCATAAATAAAATATTCTGATATTTTTTCTTTGCCTTACTTTTCCCCTTTCCATGTATGTCAGATTGCAAATGGGTATCTTTATCTACATCTTGGTTATATTACTTTCTCCTGCTGATAATGGTTGACTACAGTTTCTTTTGTGGCATTACTTATAGGTCTGATGCCCTCTTTTCACATCTATTAAGAACTACTATTTTCTTTTAGAACTTTATTTCTCCTACAAAAACTAAAGAAGGCATGATAGGTGAACAAGAGGAGGAACTGTTCTCTAAAAATGACCCTAAAGCAAAACGGGGTTTCATGATTATCATGGAGGCTTTAGTGCAAGCAAGGCATTTGGCCTATTACCACAGATTGTACGTAAAAGCAAACTTCTGCCTCACATTTTCTCTTTCCCTTTGTTTGGTAATGCAGTTTGGACATTTAAAAAATGCCAAGCAAATGCTCACAGCAGTAATACAGAGAAGCACCTTCTGCTTAGGAAGAGATGCCTCCACAAAAATGAAGTGGTGATTTCAGGATTTACTGATTAAAAAGGATAGGTTATGGGAAGAAGAGAACCATGTTATGTAATTTGGAAGGGCAGAAATAGTAATAATCATGTTTGCAACTGCTGCAAAAAAAACAAAAAAACAGAACTCGCTTCTTTATATATTTGCTTCTTTTTCTTTTCTCATTCTTTGACTTTTACTGTTTTCACTTTTCAATCTTTTCATATATTTTTTTGATTTTCTAATTTTCTTTTTATATTTATATAATTTTTAATCCTGTACATTATTTTTCAATAAATATACTTAAGTCTAAAGATTAGTGTGTTTTTATGCACATTTCCTAATTTGTAAGTGATTTTTTTCTTTTGCATTAGAACTGAACTTATATTCAGCTAAATATTTAAACCATCTATTTTTATTTTTGTTTATTCAGCTAAATATTTAAACCATCTATTTTTATTTTTGTTATGCTTACAAAGATCTATTTCCAGTTCTACTCAGGAGATGATAGTTCGATGGTTTAAAGAAGAGCAGATCAATCTCCGAGCTGGCTTTGAGAAATCGATGGATCAGATAGCACCTTGGTTCCATGGTACTGTACAGCCATTGACTTATCTCAATCAAAAGGTATAGAATTCAGCCTGAGAGCAGTGTAAGATGGAGCATTCACACGTCTACTGACATACTCCTTCTTTCTTAACTGAGCATTATCTTCCCTCAACATGAAGACTTACTGTATATTACACAGACATATGATGTACTGTTCAGTTTTCCTTCTCCTTGTTACAGATACAGAGCTACACAGTGGTTTAAAACTTGTACTCAGTTATTTGGTAATGCAGTTCATTTGATTCTAAATATTGCAAGCATAAAAGAATTCCATTAGATACAAGAATATCATGCCTCATTTCTTCCTGCCTAGAAAGGGATTTACATTGCAGATATGAGAATTCAAGGAACTACCAGACTAATAAGAAATGCCACATTTATATAAGGGAAAAAGAGTTTCAACAAAATAAAGAACATTTCTATCAATTTCTTCTATTTAGTATGCTAAACCAGGATGTTTCAATGCCAATCAAAAAGATTAGATTTCTAGAATAAATATTTACCTGATATTCAGTTCTTAAAATTTAGGAAGAAAAGTCCTGTAAAATTAGAATAAAATTCCAGTTATTTTTTAATAAGGAAAAGAAAAATACAATAGAAATAGTTTAACAAGTTTTTAACTAGATCTTCAGGAAGAAATAACCTTGCTAAAGTTACAGGTTATAATTACAGGTTTACAATTACAATATTAGTTGCAATTATAATATTACAAATACTGTAATAAAATATTTCTCCTAGCTGAATCTCACTTGGCCATTTTAATTATAAGTTATGGGTTTATGACTATAATAAAATATTCTCTCTCATACAAAAGATATCATATGTATTAGTATCTATAAAGGGTTTTCAGCACTTGAAAGATGATGTATAAATCCAGGTAATCCTTAATTTAGGATTAATCATTTTATGACCATTCAAAGTTACAATGGCCATGGAACAGATGCTTTATGGCTGGTTGTGGAATTTTGTAGTCAAATGACCACAATTTGCACTACTTTTGCTGATTTCAAATGAATGAGTTTGCCTAATGACTACCATGTTCATTTAATATGAAAAATTAAGATTGGAAAATTACTTTCAGTCATGTGAGTGCCTTGATTTACAATCATAGCAATTTATGACCAGATTTCCAGTTGCAATTACAGTTACAGTTGTAGGTCAAGAACTACCTATATTGATGATAATTTTACAATAAATAATCTAAGAATTCCTAGATCAGGATCAACCATGAGCCTTGGAAAAGGAGAAATTATATAAGAAAATCAGATCTATATCTTCAGTACAGTGAGGTTGAGAGGAACATGTTTTCTGTCTAGTGCTGCTGTAATGAAAGGTTCTTATAATGATTATTTACATGGATTTTAATTCCCCCCCCAATCTGTTTTAACTATAGCTGTTAACTTAAAAAGAAATTTAAAGATTGGAACCCCTACTGCCTGCTTCTCAGGTCCATGCAGTGATGAGTCCTCACAAGCACAAACACCTGCTATGTGGATGGGGCTTTTAAATGTCAGCTGACAAGTCCCGCCCTTTCTGCCATATTTTTGAAAAGTGCTATGGGTGCTCCTGCATTCAAGAAAAGTGGGGGGGGTTGTTTTTAATGTCAGGGAACTGTAGGGCTCTGCAGAAAACATTTAAAAAAACCCAAACTGCCTTATATCATTAAGACTATGTAGTATTAACTGGGAAAGTGTTTAAGTGAATGAAAACTCTGGACAAACAATCATATACAAAAAGACAAAGACAGAAAGTTAGTCTCTTTTTTTAGAACATGTTTCTCATGTAACACATGAAGTACTTCCTTACTTATATTGCTTTTGTTTTGAGAACAGGTATTTTAACCACCAAAAAAGCGGAAGAGCTTTTAGAGGGTTTGGCACCGGGAAGCTTTCTCATCCGAGTCAGTGAAAAAATCAAAGGCTATGTTCTCTCCTATTTATCAGCAGAGGGCTGCAAACATTTTCTGATAGATGCTTCTGGAGATTCATATAGTTTCCTTGGTGTCGACCAACTTCAACATTCAACATTAGCTGACCTAGTTGAATATCACAAGGTGGGTCTCTCTTATTTTTCAGCACATTCTATACCAAAATTAGAGGTTTCTGATGCATGAAATATTCTTTCTGTAGAACGAATACAGTACAAAGGCAGAGTACCCCCATGGAATTCTATAACTGCTTTAAAGGACAGTTTTGAAATTATTCTCACTGCTCTTTCAATGTCTCTTTCAATCACACAGTTACAGGCCAACTCCAAGTTAGAAGGCAAAATGCCTATTTAGTCTTTCCTCTGATCACTTATTCATTCATACAATGCCCTTGCATAATACTATAAAATATCATATGAGATGAGAGCATTCTAGGAAAACTAAAAATGGCAGCATATCAGCAACTGTCAATAAATCCATAGCCAAATGATTGAGCGTATGAGAAAATGCCAGTTTCCCTTAACTGCAATAAGTTCCATGAATTCCTGGTGCAGTGACCAGCATTACCTACAGGGTCAGTTTTGAAATATTGTTTTGAAAAGTCTCTACGGTCATTTTTAAATTGAGGAAAAGTGAACTACGGAAAATACATATCAGTGGAATAGCTTGCCTCTCAGAGTCGAGAGTGCTCCATCATTGAAGGCTTTCAAGAAAATATAGGATAACCATTTATCCAAAATGGTTTAAGGAATCCTGCCTTCAGCAGAGGATTGAACTAGAAGACCACCAAGGTCCCTTCCAGCCCTATGATTCTATGATTTTGTATTGGTTAGTGTTTGTGATGTCTTGATAAAATTAGGAATTACTCTTCACTAAAGTTATTTTACAATTTACTCTTGTAATTCATTAAAACTATTTCACAATTTCAGAACTAAGTTCCAGTTTAATGGGCTGAGAAAATTGCAATTTTCTTAAATTTCTTTTAAACAAATGTATTAATATAGTTTGCCTTGCTACCTAAAATGCTTTGAAGCCAATTGTAAATAATTAAACAGTTGCTAATAAAAAATTAAATACTAATTTTTACTGAAATTCAGATCTTTGGGATACGATTTTAGAAGAATGATTTCTTATCTGTGGTACCTTTCTTTTTTAGGATGAGCCCATTACATCATTGGGGAAGGAATGTCTTCATTACCCCTGTGGACAACAAGGACAGTTACTGGATTATTTTAATCTTTTTGAGTGATATTGTCAAGTGCGGGAAAATCAGGAAGTCCAGGCAGTTCAAATGAATATAAAGGTTTATTGCAAGCTTATGCTCTCTACAAGAATCTGAACTACTAACAGTCAAAGCAAATAGGTGGTGGATATGAATGAAATTCAAAGTGGGCTGGACTTAAATCTCTTGTGGACATGAAGGGGCTCAAGACTAAGGATGCATTTGACCTCTCCCTCGGGCCCAGCCTGGTCATCTTCTACAGATATTTAGAAAATCCACTTACCATATGGAGGAAGTTTATGGAATGGACAGCTGCTGACATGGAGCAGCTTTAATTATTACAGTAGTTCCTTAACTATAAAATTATGATTCAAGTATGTTTGATAAACAAGAAATAAATTCAATCAAGCAAAAAAAAATAATAGAATCAAAATCCTAAAGAAAGCAGCAAAAGAATAATAGTACAATTGCCATTACAGGCAATTGTGGTAATGAACTTTCTTTGTTCAAACTGAAACCTGACTGCATGAGTTGCTGTTAAATGAAATTATAAGGAACTATTCCAAAGAGTTGACATTTGACATCTCTGGTTCATTCTTGAAAGGATTGTATTGTATTTACATTTATAATTGTTTTTATATCTCTACACTTTATTATATTATAAACTACTCAAAGTCACCTCGAACTGCAAGATGGGAGGCATATAACTTTAATAAATAAATAAAAATGAAATAAATAAAATTGTTGAGGAAAACTCAAAATGCAGAAGTAGTTAAAGTATCTTCATAACTTCAAATCCCCTGAAAGGTTGGTTTTCATCACCATGAATGAGTGATGAGTATAAACATGCCCGTAGTGCATCATAGAACAACAAGAGCATCAGAGCTTCCAACTGTTCACATTTTTCTTGCTCTATTCTCTGCTAAAACAACATTGTTGGATAGTCACATGGTTGTTTCATAGGGAGTTGTGTGTTCCTTTAAAAATGATAGTAGACATTGCATGGATCAAAACTCTTCACTGTCAGATCTATGACCCAGTTCTTTAGAAAATGAGTCTTTCCATGCTGGCAGGGCACGAGAGAATCAGATACAATTTTTTTGGGTGTGGATGAATATACATTTGTAAGTATGGGTACAATGTGCTTTTCCTCCCTTTTTCTTTGCATCCAAGCTGACCAGGACAGATAGATTCCTAGTGTGAAGAAGCTGGTCTATGATGGACAAGCATAGTAAATACTTATCAGAGAGAGAAGAGCCTTTAGTAACACATACTCAAACAAGGAAAATGAATACTGAAAGAGTGACTGCATAAAAAATAAACATTACAAATGCCCCAACATTTTACCCTTTTCTCTGAAAATGTTACAAATGAATATGTTTTTGTAACAGAACAAGCACAGTCATTGCCTATTATAATTGTGCTTCACTTCACTTGAAAATAATCTCAGACCAAGAAGAAAGCACTCACTTGTTATAATAGATGCAGAAGGATTAATACATTGTCAAAGGCTATTTGTATTCTATATACAGAATTTGGACATGTCTCAAGATTTCTTATTTTTCTAGCTATCACTACTAGCAGATTGTAATATTTAAATACATCTGGAAAATATTGAAGCTCCATTTTGAGGTACATTTTCCAAACTTCAAACATGCAAGCTGAATTGGCAAATGTATTAAAAACTCAAATATTATATTGGAATATCATCCCTGCACATATACACACATGTTCCAGTAATGCTAGGAGGCAAAGAATGGAATATTATTAAATATTAAGACTAATGACAATAGAGAACCAGTCTTTGACCTGGCAATGAAGATAGCAAAGAGGTGGATAGCTTCTGCCTTTTAGGAACCATCAACAAGCAGTCAAGAAATATGTTGCACACCAGCATGTGATAAAATAATCACGAAGCCTTGGAAAAGATATTCAAAAAGTGATACCTACAATGAACAGAAATTGTGCAAGCCATAGTATTCCACTTAGTTTTTCGAACGGTGTCTCCATTTTGGTTTTCTATTTGTAAAATAAATGATAGCATGGTGTAATGTGTCATGTGTGGTGATTCATCTGAGGTTGTATTTACCTACTTTTAAGAACATCTAAGGCCCAGATGATTTTTACTATGTCCTGATATGTAAAACCATAGAACTCAAAAAGCGTATACTTTATTTTTCATATGACTATAAATGAAATTACAGCATCCTAATCCATCTGGGAGAAAAAGTAAAAACAATTGGGAAAGAAGATTTCAGAAAAGATTAGGGGGCCAGATGAAGACTTAAACATTCATCTGCTTCCCATTGGCTCTCTCTTCCAAGTGCTTCAGTGTGTTGCATTTGCCTCAAAACAGCCTGCATTTAACATACAATCCATAGTTCTACTTGAAGTATTATATAAAATCACGATGAAGGACTGATGTCAGGGAATGACTGGAATAGTAGTGTAGAGTTACAAATAAATGAACGATGGCCATTTCACCTGAGCTTTCATGTATTTCTTATTAATTATGCTAAAATGGCTTTATCAGTTTCCAGTGCTTATGAATGTCTCTTAGATATATGCAGTTCATATTCCAACTACTTTTCAGTACAACAGTCAGCTGAAACTGAGAGGTATACAGGGTTGTAAATTGTTCAATAAAGTGAAATCTGTTTGTAAAGTGTCTATCTTCTGTATTACAATGTGCTATTTTCAGGAAGGTTTTACATTTAAATAGAAGCGAAGTTATACAAAACCGTAAGTGCCTGAATGAGATCAAATAAATTAATACTTTATAGAAACCAAGAGCAAATAACTGTATGACTTAATTCACAGTTTATACAAATGTAATTTTTATTTATTTTTTAATTTGGGGATTATGCTTTAGTTTTACATTCTATACATAAATCAATTTTAAACTTTAGGCATTTAGCATTCTACCTGCCACCAATTCATCTTTTTAATCATTAATATAAAATAGAAACTGATTGCACTTTGTTCTCTCAAGTTTAACATTGCATATTAATTTCATTTGACTCTTAAGGAATTTAGTAACTTCTCCAGAATATGGCTTCTGCAATGTAGGAGTTCTTGACTTTCTTTGAACAGCTTCAAGTTCATCACATAAGTGGCCAAGGCCAGAAAAAAAATATTTATTATGTTCCCTCCATATGGCTCATCCAATTTCTCACTGAATTGGGCATATAATGTGACCAGATCTCTCTGATATATCTGGAATATATCAGAGAGATCTGATCACATTATATGCCCAGAGGTATAGCAAAGGTATATATAGCACATAGCCAGAATTGATAAAGTCTATTAACCATCAGTCTCACTTTGAACAGCTTTCTTGGTGCTAGTCTCCACAAACATTCACATTCATGACAACAGTTAAAAGGCAACACTCTGTACAATCTACTCATATATCAGCTGAAGGAAAACCAAATATGAAGTATCTGCCAAAAATAAATAATGTTACTTTAATGAGGAAATGTTACATTTGAGCAAAGTGCGTTTATCCTTCTCCCTTCATCTCTCTCTACAGTCCCAAATCTTTTCTGGCAATTGGGAATTCACAGGGCTGGAGATGAAAAAGTAAGAGAAACTGAAAGAAGGTCTGTCCTACCCTTTGAAATCTATTTGTATGATATTATCTCAAACCCAAAAGATTATGAAGATCCCTCGTCTAAGCCCAAGAATTTCCCTAAGAAGCTGTTCTTAAACCATAATCTAAGTTTGACATTTTGCTTTGTGAAAGACCCATTTTGCCTTCACATATTCCTATTATTTGCTTTTTGTTTACGGTGATGAGCTTCAATCTCCCGTTGGAAGACCAGCAGGCCTAGCTGGTCATGAGAAGCTTCATTCATAGCTTTAGACTGGATGCACATCTTGTATTGTTCTGGGTTCAGCTCATCTAAGCAATGCTTTTCATGCCAAAGGTGGAAAAGTCCCCGGACTGGTGTCCTGATAACCATGAGGTTGCTGTGAAGGTATTTACGGTACAGATGTACATCTTCTCCTCCCCATCCTTTAATGTCAAGATCAAACCCTCCTAATGAGAAAAGAAAGAGTTGCAACATTTACAATAAACAGAAAGATGAAGTAGGCCTTGATTGGAAAAGAACTATAGATTTAGCAAAGTCATTCTGCCTGCAGGCATTCATGAATATGCAAGCACTGATGAAATATGCATTGCAATGTCACAACACAAGTTTCACCTCTTGCTTACTTGCACGTTTTGTGACAATAAAGTGGGAAAGGGCAGAGCTTGTGCTGTGCTGTCACAATGTATTTTTCACCACTTTGGCACCATTATGATTTGGGAATGGATGCCTGTTCTGCATGCTGCACTTATTTCAATGATTTCTTATCCAAGAACAAACAGTTTTTGCTTTCCAACCATTCATTCAACAACTATTCAAAGTTATGATAACACTGATAAACAAGATTTAAAACCAGTCCTCAAAGTTGTAACCAGCACAGTGTCCATGAGGCCACCTGATTGCAATTCAAGTGCTTGACTATTGGCTTGCATTTATGATGGCTGTGGGGATTGCAGTTCACAAATGATTGTCCTTTGTGACTTTTGCAGTTGGCTTTTGACAAGCAAAGTCAATGGGGAAGCCAGCAGGAAGTTGCAAGTCACAGTCACATGACATCATGCTTAATGATTCACTGCAATTCACTTAATGACAGCAGCCGAAACTGATATCATTAAGCCAATGCAGTCACATGACATCCTGCTTAATGACTACACCACTTAGTGACTGAGTTAAAAGTCCATATTCTATTGGTGAATGAAGACTACCTGTATTAACAAAACCATCGTGTTGTATTTCTTTCAAGGTTAAAAGGGGCATTAGGATATTATTTTATTTTGAAATGTATCTTTATTGGTTTCTAAGTTCAAGTGTATACATTTAGCAGAAGTTCACATTCCCTCATATTTTAGACCAACAAAGAATTTCACATTGTTGTTAATATATTATTTAGAACAAATAGTCAAAGTGGATTGTTTTTTGCCATACCGAAAAAATAATATTCCATTACATATTTGAATGTTTGCTTTGAAACAATACATAACTCAATAGCAAAACTGAATAAGGTACTGTTAAAAAAAAGAGGCCACTGGAACTTTATAGTCTGAGTAAACTTTGTCATTATATAATAAAGTAAGATATGAACTATTTCCAGATTTATAATCAGAAAAGTGCAATAATGTAGCAAAAAATACAGGATATGTACAAACAATACTGCTGAATCAATTTGCAAACAGAGTCCACCTTATTTTCAATATTTCCAAGTTAAGAGTTTTACCAATTTATTAATAATAGAATATGGAGCTCCATGAAATTGTCATTAATTTGGAAAGTAAATATTAGTTAAATAAAAAAGGCTTCTTGGACATTTTTAAAGACATGATCAAGTTACATTAATAAAAATTGGGAGAGTTCTGGAAGTGGATTTGGGAGAATATCCCTCAGAAATCCTGTTTCAAGAATGTTTATATCTGAGATATCATAGTTTTTTTCTTTTTTTCAATGGGTATGTTTTATTTAATCAATGATTATAGATTGTGAAGATAGATTGGTTTGCTTAAATATCAAATATGCTAATATTAAAGGATGAATTAATTCAAAGTAATTATGTAGCTGTGTACACCTTCCCCATATCAAGAAATAGTCTTGTGTCAAAAATAAACAAAAAAGACATAATATTCTGGCACTGATGCTTGGCAAACTTAAACAAGCATAGTGTCTTACCAATATTGATGTAATCAGAACGAAATTGACAAGTCATTCCAAACCCAAAGTCTCTCCAAAATCCTGTCTCTTTTTTTATTACCTAGAAGAAACAAGATATGTTTTAGCTGCAATTAAATAATCTCTTTTGATTTACCGTAATCCTTATTTTTGCTCAATGCAAATATGTAGTGGATCTCCTAATTAATGAGAGGCACATCCTTTAAGTTGTTACACCCCTTGTGTTACCAGTAAGGATTTATAAAAGTGAAAATTGCCTTATCTAGAGACCAGGTTTGCTATTATTTTTGAGTATTTTTCTCTCTTACTGGAGAAATAATGAGGGGATTTCAGCATTGTAATGAATAAAAGTCAGTGGTTTTCTGCCATCCTTTTCTACATTGCCACCACTAGAGAACTATACAAAGGATCACTTTTTCTTTGGATATCTCAGAATGTGATTTTAAAAAAAAATTCTTAAAAAATACACTGACAATTAGTGCAGACCTCCTCGGTATTATATCCATATTACTTTGGGGGAAAATTCTGTCTAAGGAAGTGAGCTGCATTTAACAACCTGAAATAATACTCACTGGAGCTAAACTCAAGGCTATCCAATTGATCATTCTCAGACTTCAACTCTCAGAAATTTTTGCATCCTAACTAGTGTATATTGCATACCATTTTTAGAATGTAAGATGTGATGTGAAAACGAAATAGTGTAAAGCTTTAGATTATTCAGATATAAATTAACATTATACATGCATACATACATACATACATACATACATACATACATACATACATATGTATGTAGGTCTTTGGTTATTCGGGTTTTCTCCCGCATAAAATTGGAAGTGTTTTGGCGACGTTTCGACGAAGTCCCATTCGTCATCTTCAGGCTGGTGTTTTCGGCTTCGTGCTTCTAGGAGCACGAAGCCGAAAACACCAGCCTGAAGATGACGAATGGGACTTCGTCGAAACGTCGCCAAGACACTTCCAATTTTACGCGGGAGAAAACCCGAATAACCAAAGACCTACATACAAATACCCATGAAAACCTCAGAAAACAAATATATACGTGTATATATATATATTGCCTGTATAAAGCTCCTCTCTAGATCTAGCCTACCCAAAGTGACAAGTTCTTTTTATTATTTAATTTTTAACTGATATAAATAATAGAGATACTAAATGAATAGCTGCAAATCTGTTAGATTTTGTTTCCTTAAAACTATTATCATTAAAACCAAAAAGGAATGAAGGGAAAAATAAAAAGCCTGCTTTTCTACAGTTTCAAAATAATAATAGTAGTATATCATACTATTCAATTTTTAAACAATGAGTTAAACCTAAACTATACAAATATGGAAATAAAAGGTATAAATGTATTACAGTGCTATTTTAAAATACAACAATAAGTACTTTGTTAAAAATCAACAAAACAGTTGCATGACCAATAAAACATATTAATTAGTTATTTGTAACTAATGGCTTCCAAGGCTTTTTAAAATGATGTCATTAAGAGAAGTCTTCTGCATAATCAAGAATGGGCGCCATCGCTAGAAAAAAAAACAGTCTCGGGCTTCTGGTTTTGTGCAGTAGTGCAGCAGCCAAGGGATCGCGGCGCTCCGCACCCTATGGCCGATTTCTGCCTGCTAGGGGACCCTAAATGGGCCTGAAGTTGCCCTGTAGAGGCAGTAAAGAAGAAAGGAAGTCCTGCTGATTATGGAAAGATGGTGGTCGATCTGATTGGTTTGGGGAAAGCCTGCCAGAAACCAGTAGGAGAAAGGCTAGCTTAACTTCAGAGTCTATCCCAAGCTACAAGCAGCCGAAGCCCAAAAGCACTACTTTAAACTGAATGTAAGCAACATGTTTGGAATTGGGTAAGAACAGTGATTTTCTCTCTTGTGTTTGAAAATTGATTTCCTGGGAAAAGAAAAAAAGAAAAAACCCAAGAAGCAAAAAGCCTCTGAAAGTGAGAAGAATGGGGATCTTTGCCCCACCCTCCTACAGACGGAAGCAGCAAATTAAACTTTTCAGAGGGAACAGAAATATACTGAAATGAAATGATATAAGACTTAATTTGGATAAGTTTAAAATCAGAGGAATCTGGTAATATTTTCTTTTAAACCAAGAAAATAGAGGTAAACAATTGTATATTACTGAAAAATGAACTGGTGCTGACATCTAGTGGTGGAAGAAAATATACAACAGTAGTTGCTCTATTACAGGAACTGGCAAAGCCCAGGAAAAGATAACTTGTTTTTGGTGACCTTCAATGTTTTTATAACAGAGAACAGCTGTGACCAAAAAAAAAGAAAGAAAAATTTTGGGCTATCTACAAAGTGAGAATTATAAACTTTAGAAAAAAATTGACCTTTCTGGATTACAAATACCGACTCAACTGTGACTCTAAAGCTGTCTGCAGAGAAAGGAAAACCCTGATTTTTGGCTATCATGGAAAATCAGAGATCTGCAGAAAGAATATACCAAGAAAAAACAGATACTTTCCAGGAGGAGATTTATGCTATTTTGCAACTAATTCAAACAACAATGATCTCAAACCATGAGGAAATTAAAAATAACTTTGAAAATATAAATGAACACATCTCCAATTTAACTTTACAACACAAAATCTTTCAGAAAATAAAAATAGAAAGTGAGCAGAAAAAAACAGACAACTGAATGTGAGACAGAGGAGAGAGATTTCAAGATGGAACTTAACCATAGAAGGAAATATGACTTAACCCAGATGGAATTTTTTTTTATAGAAAATACTGGACATGGAAAAGATAACCTATACTCTAAGGTCACAAAATAGGTTTGAGGACAAGAAAAAGATTTGACAAAATGGATTCTGCCGGGAGAACTATGAGAATTTGAGAGACAAAAAATGATAAATGAAATTAAGAAAGAAAGAAAGAAAGAAAGAAAGAAAGAAAGAAAGAAAGAAAGAAAGAAAGAAAGAAAGAAAGAAAGAAAAGAAAAGATTCTTAATGAATACAAAGGGGTGAAACCTTCCTATAAAAAAATCTTACCTGTTTTGCCTTTTGTACTTGCAACAACATTTACAAGATTATGGGAAGACTCTTTGATTCAGCGAAGCATATGATCAGGAAAGATGTTTGGCAAAAAAAAAAAGAGGCTAAAGTGAGAATTAAGAAACTAGATGATGGGATTTACCAGAGGGAATATTTAAAAATTAAACATCTTTTTGAATATGGTTAAAGAAATAGAAAGATTTTGGATATAAATGAAGATTAATTTAAGAGGGATGAATCCCTCAAGTAACAGTATTTTTTCTTTCTTTTTTCCATCGTGTTTTGTTTTTTGACATGAGAAATATAAAAATGTTGGGATGGTTTATATAAAAGAAATGTTTTCTCTAAGTTTTTTTTCTCTTTTCTTTTTTTTAAGATATGAGAAATGTAAAAGTGTTGGGATGGCTTGTATGAGAAAAAAGACTTAAATACTTAAGTGTAACTAATTTTGAGAAAATCTTAGCCAGTAAGAATGTTTTGAATATTGTGGGGAAAACAAATTTAAATAGGAATTTTGTAAACAGGATCTATGATGAGGCAATCAAGATGATCAATTAGAAAAAAAGCTTTATATTGAGATGGTTATTATTGAAAAATGTCTATATTTAATTGTCATTTATTCAAATAATAAGAACTAATTTAAGGTTGGCAAAAGAGAATATTATTGGAAGAAGAGAAAATCAAGCAAAGCCATTATATGGACTATAGAATTATAGAAATTGTTATTGATTGTTTTTTAAATATAAACCCAGACAACACACAGTTTACAAAATATTAAGGTGATTATGTTAAAAATCAATAAAATATATTTTTTTAAAAAAAGAAAAAAACAGTCTCTGATGCTTATTGATGTAGATTATTTATCTTAAAGAGAAGCTAATAAATGTATTTGCTAGCAGTAATCTTAAAGCACTGGCAATTTCATATGGGCATGGGTAGTTTTTAAAATATTTTATGTTTTTTCTACATTCACATGCTACCCAGAATCCACTGTAGTTGGATGGTCAGTACATTTAAATAAATAAATAAAAATATAAGTTTTTTTCCATTAATTCTCTGAAACCTAAACTAGTAGACTAGTGGGTCTATACAGGTGGTTCAACTTGTATAGAATTGGTGTATTATATCTAGACAATCAGCTTCCAGTAAACATCTTCTTTAAGCAGATCCATTCTCTGAGAACAGTCTCCAGACAGTCTTCAAAACAGTCTTATGTACCGAAAAGGTCTATTTTCCTCATACGTGTATGTCTGAGCCTCAAGTATCATTCCTTAAGTAAATTTGCAGTTACGCTATTAACTCAGAATAGAAAAAGGCTCCAACAAATACTACTGAGGTTTTAAAAATTTTCAGTCTGTGCATTTGGTTGAAAAACCAATTACCTACCAGCTGTTGTTTTAAGGGTGGAATGGAATTTTGCTGTCCATATATTAGACTTGGGTTGTACTGGCTGAAAAGAACAGGATAGAATACTTTCTTTCCTAGAAATAAGAGTTGAAAAAATATGATTATTTTTTTTGCTAAATCTGCTCTTGAACATTTTAACAAGATAAATTTCAGAGCAATGAGTAGGTGTAGACATAGTAAGAGAAATTATATGTTTCTGTAGGAAACAATCTAAATGCTACTATTGCTTCATTTTTAAATATATTTAAGTAAGAAGAGAAAAGTGAAAGTATGATTTACATGTTAACACCTGTATGTGTGCCTTCGAGAACATCCTGTCATACAGCATCACGGTCTGGTTTGGAGGCATCACTGCTTCAGACAGGAAGGTGGTAGAGAGTGGTGAGAATGGCCGAAAGGATCATTGGCAGTTCCCTCCCTCCCATCCAGGACACAGCACAGAAGCATTGTTTGAGCAGGGTCTGCAAGATTATCTGGGACACTTCACATCCTCTTCACGACCTGTTTTCCTTGTTACCTTCTGGGAGGAGGCTTCGTGGTATCCATAGCAGAACATCCAGATTCAGCCATAGTTTCATCCCATACAACATTAACCTTGTGAACTCTCAAGCTTCCTCCTTCAGTTATATATTCAAGACGCATAGTATTTAATATTTATTTGCTATGTATATATAGGGATGTGGGTCTTTATGTGTTCATAGTATGTTTAGGTGTGTGTCATGTATGCAGGGCTTTTTTTCTCATAGAACGCCCAGAACGGAGTTCCGGCACCTTTTTTGGATGGAACCTTGTAGGGTAGGCAAGGCAGGTTGTATGACATGTGTGAGTTCCAGCACCTTTTTTTTTTTTTTTTTAAGAAAAAAAGCACTGCATGTACTGTATGTGTTTCACTTTTGAGAGCGGGCAACTAAATTTCATTTTTGATGTGTGTCGTTGTGCCCAAAGTAAAAAAATGACAATAAAGGTTATCTTATCTTATCTTATCTTATCTTATCTTATCTTATCTTATCTTATCTTATCTTATCTTATCTTATCTTATCTTATCTTATCTTATCTTATCTTATCTTATCTTGAGTCAGTGTTGACTCCTAGCAACTGCCTAGCAAAGTCCCTGCAGTTTTCTTGGTAACATTTCAGAAATGCCTTGCCATGGTCTCCTTAAGGCTGAGAGAGAGTGACCGGCCAAGATCATCCAGCTGACTTCATGCCTAAGGTAAGACTACAAGTTGTGATTTTCTGGTTTCTATAACATATGGCTCTACACCAAATATCAGATATTTCTCTAAAATTAAAGAGGGTTCTAGCTTTTGCAGATCTACCATATATACACCGCTCCACAGTTCTTAAAATATAATTCTCATCCATTTTTAGGTTTCATTAGGTCTTAGCTTGCTGTATTTCCAATATGGATTTATGGGATTGGGGTTTGAGAGAGAGCTGTTCAATGTTAACATAAAAGGCCTCTTTTACTCCTCTTTCAAATGATCTGCTCTATCAAAATATGGATTTTGCTGATGTCAAAAGAGTGATCTTTGTTTTTCAAATGCAGATGGACCGCTGAATCTTGTCCTGATGGGTTTGATCTCCTATGCTGTGCTGTGGTTGCTTTGTTTCACCAATGTACAGATCACTGTATTGTATTGCATATATCACATCATGCTCAGTTTGTGTCTGGGTGTTTTATCCTTGGGGTGGACAAGCTTCTGCCTTAGTGTATTCTTCGGTTTAAAATGTACATGTACATTGCTGCCCGTTTGTTGATAGCCCAAAATTGGAAGAGCCCAATTCTACCTACAATGGAAGACTGGAGATTGAAAGTTTCATATCTTGCTGAAATGGCAAAGATTTTGGCTTATTTGAAGAATCATTCAAATGAACAATTTTTATCAATATGGAGAAGATGGATTGTTTATATTCAAAACAAGCATAGAGTGGTAGAATATGACCTAGGTTTTTAGATTTTTTTCTATTTTGTTTATTTTTTCTATCTTTTTTATAGATTAAGATACTTTGTGGAGTTAGGGATATTAGTATTTGTTTACTTATATATGAATATTATCCTGGGATTAGGTTTGGGAAGTCCGGGGGTGGGGGGTGGGGGTTTTTTACTTGTTATTGTGTTTATTATGCTTTTGATTGTTTTTTTTATGATGGAAAATAATAAAATTTCTTGGAAAAAAAAATGTACATGTACAGTATATTGTATTGATTGAAAATTCTCCTGAGTTTTTCAGATATTTCTGAAATGTATGGAATGACAATGTTGCTACATTTGTTGTTCTATTCTTTATCTGTAATGAAGGAGCTTCTGCTGGATCTTTTTCTGGATTTGGACTTATTTTCTAATTTAGTTTTCAGCCAGTCCTGGGAAATGTTCCAAAGACAAAAGGAAACATGGAGGGTTTTTTTTAATTTTAAAAAATGAAAATCACCTGAGAGGGGAACTTTTCCAAATTGTACCTCAAAATTTGATGTTCATGGATTTGAGATGTCTCTGCCCATTTACCTGGATCAACAGGTTCAGATTTTTCTTTATCTGTTTCAGTGACTGAATCACTCAGAATGAGCTCCCTCATTATTACAATGATTTTCATGTTTATAGGGAAGAATACTTTCCATGATCATTACAGATGATGGCTATATACATTTCCTAATTTCTGAAATGTATACAGGAGAAATTAGCTGAGCTTTCAGTTTATACTTACAGTTTTGCTAGAGGGAGCTGACAGGCTTCTGAAGGAATATACATATGAAGTATCTTCAATGTTAAAAAGAATAATAAACTGGTTATGGTGCAAACTGAATTTCTGTCCATTATATCATGAATGGCTGACTGTACCTGGTTGTGTGTTTAATCTACACGTGTTCAGGAATTCCTTTGTGAAATATATATCCACGTCACAGAAAAATAGTACAACGTTGTTTCCTTTCCAAAATCTTGCACCCACGTCCAGACCTTTCCCCCTGGAGAACGCTTCATCCAGCTGGATAAATGAGTAATTTCTGAAATTAGCTGATCTGTTAGGAAAAAATATATTTAAGTTTTATCTGGCTTTCACCAATTACCATTTGTACATAATTGTTTATTGTAAGAAAAACAGAGACTTTAATTAACAGAGATTAATATATTTATCATGAGCGACTCTTATATGCAGGAAAGAAAATCCTCCATCTAATGACTTGGGCCTTCATTTAGCTCTATTGTATGCTGCTTATTTGTGAGATGTGCAGCTATGTAAATTGGTTTAATAAATAAATACAATAAAAATAATGCTTTATGATGATATATTAGTTGGTTTTTAATGCTACATTTTAATTTATAGTAAGCAACAAGCTCTGTTATTTGCCAAAGTTTCCTCTTGAAATGCCTCAGTAGTATTCAGCTGATTTTTAAAAGGAAAATATGATGCAAATCAACTGGTTGTAGAAATATGGAATTGGATCCAGACTTCTTAGAGTAATCAAGTGAAATCTGTAGAGATTGTTTGGTCCTGTTGATTGCAATAGATCTAATCTAACAATAATTTAGTGTGGACTCATTCCATTATTACTGGAAAAGATAGATGGGCTTAAGAATTTATTCAAAAGCCTGTTGTATAATCTGCAATATAATGAAAGCTCTATAATACAGTGAGAAATCAATAGAACAGCTTGCCTCCTTGTGGTTATTCCATCACTGGAAGTTTCCAAGACAAAGAAAAAAGAGATAATGTTTTAAATTAAGCTAGTTAAGATTTTACTCTTGTCAGTGCAGGACAAATTATCTGAATGATGATGATTTGTCAATAACAATTTTGAAAAGAATTCTATTTATAGCATTTCCAGTATTGTTTAAGGATGCTTCTAAGCACACACAGATTGCTCAGTAATTCTTTTCTGTTTAGAGATGATTAGAATTACATTTCTAGTTATCTAAGATTTCAGCCAAACAACAATAGGATTTCCAGGTTATCCTGAGACTTGCCACTTCTTTTTGAAAATTTTAACCATTAATGAGAAGAGTAAAATCAGGAAATCCATCTTTTCATTTTCTTTTGGTTTCTAAATTCAAAATAATATTAAGTCAAATGTTTTACTCACTTGGATATGTTTTCTAGGATTTCTTTGACTTTGCTCATTTGTTCAGTTCCAAAATACACTACAGTCAGGTGAATTCTTCCATCTTGCTTCATAGCCACCTCCCTAAAATAGAAATCAAATGGATTATAATAAGCATATTTTCTTACAACTTTAATTTGTAACACCTTATATATTCACACTGCACCTTACCTTCATGCATCGGCTTACTCTTTATCTATATCTGTACCCACAGAGAAGGTATGTAAAACATTTTGAGCTTGACTGTTCTGATTCCAAAATGTTTACTAGGAACCTGAAACACCTGTTCTCACCAAAACATTCCAACATCCATATTGGTAATTTCAAACTTATAGAAAGTTTTTGTATGTGCCTTTGAATCTATGTTGACTCCTGACAAATGCCTGGACAAGGCCCTGCAGTTTTTTTGGCAAGATTTCAGAGGTGGTTTGCTATTGCCAGCTTCCTAGGGCTGAAAGAAAGTGACTACCCAAGTTCACCCAGCTGGCTCTGTGCTGAAGGAAGGACAGCATTCAGAATTTCTATCCTGGTGCCTTAACTACTGTTCCAAATTGGCTCACTATAAAAAGTAGTCCAAAATCAATGTTTTAACCTTCATTTTATAATAAAATATTTCTTGGTCAGAATTTTCATCCTTTAAAGCAAGACATACAATCTATTTTTTTTTAAAAAATCCTGAAATATTAACAGGGCTTTTAAAATTTCACAGCTAAGTGATTTACTCTGATATTTTCACTTCCCCTCATAAATCTGCACTTGTATGCATGCAGTCTTCTTAATGAAAATTGTTAAATAGATTCTTGGAATCTGTTATAGCAACTGGAGAAAGCCAACACAGTGGCAGCCAAACCTACTTCTCTCTTATATTTCAAAACCATAATTAGATATATATGCTCCATACTGTATTACGCTATAGTGGTGCTTAGATATAATTGATTCAGGAACATCCGGTTTGCCGACGTGGCCGCCATGGATGTCCAGAAGGTGAGCTCCGTCTTCCGTGTCCAGTTTCACATCGCTGGGAGACCCTGGAAAGGGTCAAAAGTCGCCCTGTAGGGGTGACCAGCAAGGAGGGGATCCCCGCTTGATCGCGGGAGGGCAGTAGCCCTTCCGCTCGATCCAGGGCAGCCCTCCAAACCAGTGGATGAAAGACCAGCCATAGAAATATGGTTCGTCACTAGGCTGCAGACAGCCGAAGTCACACTTACTACCAGGCAATTGTAAAGCAGCACTGATGAGACTGGATGAGATCTACCTCTCTTAAATCCTATCTTTTTTACCTGCATAAGCTGCCTAAAATACTTTCCCCCCTGTGGAGAGGGGAGATTTTATCCCTCCCTCTAAAAACAGCAGCAACTGACTATCCAGGAGAGTTTAAAATGTTGCAAGAATAACTTGATCCTAATTGGAATTTCATTTTTTAAAGTTTGTGAACCAAAAGATTTTCTATTCTTACTGAAGATCTAGGTTTTTACTTATAAAAAAGAAGTAAAACTGAAAAGATTTTTAAAACTTTGGACTTAAAACTTTAAATGATAGGGACGACATCTTGTGGCCAAACCTGATATTACAACTTGTTATTGCTTAAAAGAGACTTGGCCAGTAGCCCAGATTATAGATAAGACTTATAACCTTGAGACATCAGCTATGAGAAGCCCAGCTGTGTTCTATACTCAGTGACAAAAATGTTTTTTTGTATTCTCTGATTGTAAAGCATTTAACCTAATACACTACTAAGAGAATATTGATGATCAGGAACAGATTCTCTTTATATTGAAAGCAATTCACCAAACTATTCTTACAGCTATTGATGAAATAAGAGGTTACAGAAAAGAACAAGATATACGAATTCAGATATACGAACTCAAACTTTGATTACAACTAAAAAATCAACTACACAGAATATAACAGAAAAAGTGGAACAATTAAATATTAAGATAGAGGATTCAACTGTTCAACAAATATAGTCAATGGAAAACCCAGAAAAGGAACTGACAATATGGAAAAGGGAAAAGACTTCCTACATAAATCAGAAGAAATGTGAGGATCAAGAAGAAAAACAGACTGAAGAGAAGATAAACAGTTCAAGACAACTATGTCGAGATGGAAAAATAGAGAGACGATTTCTTAGTCCTCTCAAAAAAAATAGCAACCAGATGGTTTTTTCTACGTCAAACAATATACATAAAAACAGGGAGATTTATTTGATGACTCGAAAGCACAGACATGGAACACGATTTGGCAAAGAAATAAAGCTAGAATAAGACTGAAGAAAATTGGAGTTTTGACTTATTAGTCAGAATTAAAATAAAAATATTCAAATAGATAAGATGTGTATTTTGAATACTAGATATTGTTATGAGTTGAGATAAAGAGAACTTTGGTCATTTAAAACTTGGACGTATAAATATTAACAGTTAAATTTGAACATTGATTTGCTTATAAAGGTTAAATGTTAAGGTAACTAATATATATACATATACATATACATATACATATACATATACATATACATATACATATATATATATATATATATATATATATATATATATATATATATATATATATATATATATATATATATATATATATATATATATATATATATATATATATATATATATATATATATGTTTTCTGAGGTTTTCGCGGGTGTTTGTATGTAGGTCTTTAGTTATTCGGGTTTTCTCCCGCGTAGAATTAAAAGTACCTTGG